AAAGACTGACTGACTATTGAAAAACAAACATATATCATATCATGCGTGTACCCAAATGACTTCATTTGGCTTTTAATTTCAAAGCTAATCAGACAAGAGTGTATTCGTGATTGAATTTCACAAATTTCATCCATGGCTCTGCACCAACATTGTCCTGACACATTAGGGTTTCAGATATAGGGTGACTTACTCGTTTACTGCTCCATTAGTGATAAGATAAGGAGATAGACAGGTGGAATGAGGAGAAAATGAAATTCATCAAAGAAAACAAGATCATTTAGAGTGTTGGTGAGGGATTTGAATAAACTGCAGTCAAAGTGTTACAGCCAAAATGCCTAAATCAGTTGGCATTGCACTGCAGTGGGCTGAAACGAGCAGAGGAGGATTTACAATAATATTACATTATCAAAGGAAAAAGTTTATAATGTACTGGGGCAGAGACCTCTGATAAGCAATTTTTGCTCTTGTAATTATTTTACTGTTCAATATTTCCAAAGAAAGGGCAACACTTACACCAGTGATTGCTGATGGTGGAAACCCCCGATAACTGAGACAGATTTTCAAAACAATCAAGCTGAGACCATGCAACATTTATCTGTCTCCAGCCTCCCTCTCAGGGGCTTTATCTTTTAATTACTTCTAGTCTCAAAAAAGGAAAAACAAATTCGATTTGGGTAACTAGAAAAACCATGGGCAAGATTTAATCGTTCAAGAAAAACAGATCAAAACAGAAGGTCTGTTGTTGATATAATTCACAAAAGCGGAGGTTATATGAGTCAGCATTTCTGCTGACATTTCAAAGGGAAGAGGAATCCCTCCGTAAATCTCTCTCCTTCGGACACACACAACACACACACACACACACACACACACACACACACACACACACACACACACACACACACACACACACACACACACACACACACACACACACACACAGCCATTTAAATCACCATCTGTGTGACAAATGGGTGACTAGTTTGATCCAGAAAAAATTAAATGGCTGTGTTTTTAGCACTTCTCTGTTTTGGCACCGAGAGATAAACAATACGTGGAGCAGAATGGATTTGCTTGAATCTGATTTGAAATCACCTACAAAGCTGATATTCTTGTAAATACTGTAACAACAAATTATTTTCTATTTCGCTGCACACCAAATAATGGAATATAATTTTTACAGTAATTGTGTCAACATTACAGACAAAATTCCAGTTTTGGGAAGTAAAAGTAATGATGCTGATGCTAATAACTTACATTTTCAGTAACATGAATGTGCTTTGAACTGTTTTGAAGAAACATCAGAAACATCAGAAACATGCAACAAGTTTGCCCTAAACGGTTCATTCTAGTGAATTGGTTTGATCAGGAGGTTTATGTCAATCGACAGGTAAAAATGTATCCCCCATTTTTTACAAAAAATTATAGTTTCAAAGTAGCTTCCACAACACTGAAAAAATGTTTACAGTTTTTTTCGATTGCTAAACGACAGTGAGCACAACTGGAGCTACATGTGCAAAACTCTAACTACAGTCTGCACAGCAGCAGTTCATGTGGACCAAACTCTAGTTCGGTTTTCAGTGCTTGAACACAGTTTTCAAAACTCTACACACTTATCCCATGACTTTAACCACAACCTGCACAACACTGTGGATTTACAGCACTTTGTTCAAATGCTAACACACTGCTGTGCAAAACCACACATTCAAAACAGAATAGATTTCAGCCTTGTGCCTTTCAAACACTGCTGATTGCAATTTCAGCTGAAAGGCTCAATTATTATTACAGTATGTACTTTTAGTTTCTACCTTTTTTTCTCATTACTGTAATTCCATAAATTACTACAGACTATTGAAGCAAACTGCTAATTTTCATGTACCTTAAAGAATTGTTATGTTCTAAAAATTTAAATAAATCATGTGAAAGAATGTCACTCTTTTCTTTGAAGAAAATATTACTTTGTATGAAGTCACTTAATTGTTCAAACTGTAAAGATGAAAAGTTAGTATTTTCTGTTTTGGTGTTTGATGCTAGTGTTTTTACTCTCAGTGTGTTCTGAGTGACAGTGTGTGTTATCTCAGTGAGGGTTGTGCATAGTGTTTGTCTGCATGAGCCTGTTTTGAGCCGTGTGTTAAGAGTTGTGTTGCTTGGAATGAGTTTTGCAGGTGACGTGAACTGTTTAGCTCAGGGGACTGCTGCTGTGCAGACTGTAGTTAGAGTTTTGAACATGTAGCTCCAGTTGTGCTCACTGTCGTTAGCAATCGAAAAAAAAACTGTAATTGTACCATAGGGCCCACTAACACAGCCAAAGTTAAAGGATTAGTTCACCTCAAAATGAAAATTTCCTGATAATTTACTTACCCCAATGCCATCCAAGATGTTCATGTCTTTCTTTCTCCAGTGGAAAATAAATTAAGTTTTTTGAGGAAAACATTTCAGGATTTTTCTCCACACAATGGACTTCAACGGAAACCAAATTGTTGAAGTCCAAATCAATGCAGTTTCAAAGGGCCCTGCATGATCCCAGCTGAGGAATAGGGTCTTATCTAGCGAAACAATCTGTCATTTTCTAAAGAAAAAAAAATTATATACTTTTTACGTAACCACAATTGTTCATCTTGTGCTGGTCTGCGATGCACCAGGCATTACGTAATCACGTTGGAAAGGTCACGCTGGACGTAGGCGTAAGTACCGCCCCATTGTTTACAAGCGTGAGAAGGAGGATCGTTCAAATTGTATTGTATGTTGAATGACATATGTATGCCTTTGTGTCAGTTTATTGTTTAAAATGGTTCTTTCGTGTGCGTATCCTGGATGTTAAAAAGAATGGGGCGGTACTTCCGCCTATACGTCCAGCGTGACCTTTCCAATGTGATTATGTAATGCCTGGCGCGTCGCAGACCAGCACAAGACGAACAATTGTGGTAAAAAGTATACATTGGTTTTTTTTTTTTTAGAAAATGACAGATTGTTTCGCTAGATAAGACCCTATTCCTCAGCTGGGATAATGCAGAGCCCTTTGAAGCACTTCAAAGCCCTTTGAAACTCCATTGATTTGGACTTCAACAATTTGGTTACCGTTGAAGTCCATTGTGTGGAGAAAAATCCTGAAATGTTTTCCTCAAAAAACTTATTCTTTTCCACTGAAGAAAGAAAGACATGAACATATTGGATGGCATTGGGGTGAGTAAATTATCAGGAAATTTTCATTTTGAGGTGAACTAATCCTTTAAACTCTTTATTTTAATAAAATAAAATAAGATAGGTCAACAGGTTAATATACAATTGGAAGAAATTATCTTTTCATTGGTATTTCTCATTTAATTACTAACAATTTTAACCATTAGGTGATTACTAAATGCTTTTGAACATGTTTGAACAAACTAAATATAGAATATGAATTAACACAAGTTTGTACTAGAACACTGCCTCTTGAATGACCATGGAGGTCATTACAGTTTTTTCAAATTGCTTACACACTAAAAGTGGAACTTGAGGTGGCCCACTCAGAGAAACCATTCACTCATGTATCTAATCTTCAAACCAAGTCTGCAAAACTGCAAGCACATTATACGCTTTACACTCAGTTTGAAATTGAAAAACTAACTCCACTATATATATATATATATATATATATATATATATATATATATTGAATGTACATACAAGCTATAATATAGATTGTTTCAAAGCAGCTTCACAATAGTAACTAATTCAGTTCAGTTCAATAACTGTAACATTCATCAATTGTGCATACATACAGTATTTGTGCACATACATGTATGTGTGACAAACTCCTGTACACTCCACTTCACACTGAACAAGCAAAAGACACAAGAGAGTAGTGTTTTACATTTTTCACATCTGTGTGTATAGTTTAGTGTGTATGTGGCTAATCATTTGATGTTTGTGTGTAGAGAATTGCAAAAACGCAATTTTTGGAAGAGTTAAAATAGTTTTGAATGATGTGTTTGCTTTTGCAAGATACACCGTTCAAAAGTTTGGGGTCGGTACGATTTTAAATACTTTTAAAAGAATTCTCTTCTGCTAACCATGGCTGCGCTTATTTGATTAAAAATACAACGTATTTTTGTGTAAATTGTTGTAAATGTAAATTGATTTTGCACAGTGTTTTGAGTGCGGCTGCTGTATTTTTACAATTAAAAATACAACAAAAATCAGTTATAGTATTAAATATTATTCCAGTGTAAATCAGCTGTTTTCTGTGTGAATATATAGTAAAGTGTAATTTATTCCTGTGATCAAAGCTGAATTTTCAGCATCACCAGTGTCAGTGTCTTCAGTGTCAAATGATCCTTCACAAATCAGTATAATATGAGGATTTGATGCTCAAGAAACATTTATTATTATTATCAATGTTGAAACAGTTGTTGGTCTGTCGTACAGTTTTTTTTTTTTTTTTTTTTTAGGATTCTTTGATGAATAGGAAGTTCAAAAGAACAGCATTTGTTTGAAATAGAATCTTTTGTAACATTATAAATGTCTTTACTGTCCTTGATAAATAAAAGTATTGATTTCTTTCCTCAAGTGCATTATACTTGTGTTTCATGAATAAGTCCCATAATGTTGAAGCCAAAATAAATAAATCTAAACGCCTTGAAATGGACATGAAGTTGATACAGAGGGTGGAAGCACATTTTGCTGTCACTGCCTCACACTATATGAGAGATCAATAGCCTTGTGCCTCTAGTCAAGAGCCTCAAAGATACAACAGAGATGAGTGAATCAACCCCTGCTTGACTCGGATCAGACCTGAAGGGGTTGATAGATTGAAATGGGATCGGTAAAAGAAAAGAGTGAGAGTTCAAAATTATTTCTGTCAGGAAACAAATTCTGTTTCTACCAAATGTGACTATTACATGCTGAAGCCACCAGCAGTGCTCTTAAAACCTGTTTTCATATATAATTGCACAAAGGTGAAAGTGCTCCTTATTATGAATGTTTTACCTATTATTTCTCTTTTATTTTATTCTCCACAGGTGCCGTGGTCATTGCTTTTGTGGTGTGCTGGTTGCCATACCATGCTCGAAGACTAATGTACTGCTATGTAACTGAATGGACACCGTGAGTTTCAGTTTCAAAAAATCACAACACATTACAATAAAAATCAAATGAAACTTCAAATGTAAAACATTTTCTCAACTCTTGGATTTGCACTCTCTTATTGGACAATGCACACACGCTGAGAGTATAGATGCACAAAAAGTGTAACTGCAATTCACGACTGATGTCCCTCTGTTTTTAGAGACCGAGTTGCTGAAGTCCATGAGCTTCTTATTAATAACATACAAAGTAGCTTATAAATAACATACAAAGGCACAAAAGATGAAAAGTTATAGCCTGTAGCCAGCTCACCGCACATTATAGCTCCACAAATCAATGCTTTGTTCTGGGCAGCGCCCACCAACAGCAGTGCACATAAATCATGATGCATCTGGTGGTGGTAGAGATTTCTGTGAGTGTTCTTCTATGATTCAAGGGGTGAATCGATAAATCTGTGAAACATGCTCTTGCACTCATCTTATAATTCATACAGAGCACCACATACACGGAGCAAACTAATCTGAATGTGAGCGTGTACATGTGATTTTTTTTCAGTGGCTGACTGCACACAGATTTATGTTGTGGTTGTCACGCATAGCTTGCGTGAACTTCCTAAACCATATGCTGATGAGTGATGGGGCATTTTTATGATTCGATGCACAGTTCACCTCAGTGGAATTCCAATATCCAGAAAAGCATGACATTTGAACCCTTGCTCAAAAATGCATTGGTTTTGACAGTAATGACAACTAGATTTAGAAATATGAATGGTACTTGCCCATAAAAACTACAGTGTGTTTCTATGCAGTTGCTTTGGTGTTCTAAGTGGTTGTTGTTTCTAATGATGTGAACTGTACAAAATATAAGCCAGCTCAGAGAGCATTGGTGCACTGAATGTTGATACCAACAATGGATGGAAACAATCTGAGAGGGAGAGGAGGAAGGGTATGTGTAAGAGGTGGTGGACGAGAAGAAAGAGGATGAGGATGAGGAAGAGTAAGGTGTGGAGTGTTGTCAAGGCAGTATCTGGCACACCAGATTTTCCATTTGTTATGTAGTGTCTAATGAATGATCTGTAGTGTTTATATATTGGCTGTGTGAATGATCTGAAAGCATTGGTGAAACCATAGGTGTGAATGTGTGTGAGTCCCAAGTCATGTAATGGGTTGGGGAAAGACCTGGCAACCTACCCCAGAAGAAAACATTGCCAAGAAAATTCATGGAAAGTCTCTCGTGTATGATGAGAGATGGCCATAGAATCACCAAGAGTCGGATACGACTGAAATGGTTAATGAGAGAGAGAGAGAGAAAATGGTTTTTAGATTTTGCCAGAAGAGTCAGGGGTTTTGTGAATGTAGTTTGAAGGTTTGGTTATTTTGTTTAATGTTGTGAGAAAATGGGTGAAGGTGTTAGGAACTGTGTTTTAGCAATTGTCAAAAAAGGTAAAAAAACACCAGCTCATTCTCACTTATAAGGTTATTCTATTTGTTGCCATTTAAAATTTATAAATTTTGAAATTTATATTCCATGGTTTTTACAGTCAAAGGCTATTCAATCCTGTGACATTCTCTATGAAAATTCATTGATTTGTAATGTGCGTGATGAACCGCGTCATGTTAATCATTTCAAGATGGGTCTACGTATACGTATCTATGGTTGAGATGGTCTTCTGAGTGGTCGTTGTCTGTTGATGTTTTTAAGCGTGTTGTTATGTGGTTGCTTTGATGTTCTAAGACGTTTTGCGTGTTGCTAGAGTGTTCAGGGTAGTTTTTAGCGTGTTGCTATGTGGAGTTGTGTCTTTCTATTAGTTTGTTATTGTGGTCTTGGTAGTTTTACTGTGTTGCAATGCTGTTCTGAGGGGTAATTGTGTGTTTTTATGCAGTTGCCAGGGTATTCAGGGTGGTTTTTAGTGTGTTGCTATGTGGTTGATATTGTGTTCTGAGTGGTTTGGTGTGCTGATTATAGGTATGAGATGCATCTGTACTTTTTACCTGCAAGGGTTACTTTTTTTCTTACAGGAGTCCTTTAATGTGTGCCAGTGAGCTGAGGCAGTACTTGATGTTGTAGTACGTTTGATGTTTTAGTAAAGCAGAAAGAATCAGAAGATGAGGAGTGAACATATGAAAGGAAAATGGGTAACACTTTACAATACGGGTGCACTAATAAGCATTAATTAATGCTTAACTAATGCACAGATAATACTGAATTAATGTGTAACTAATGATTATCTAAGCTATTCATTAATGATTACCACATTAGGAACTAATTAAGAGTCTGTAAGGTTAATCTATTAGTTCATACATGAATTGTTATTAATTAAATATGTAATTGTGGATTAATTCC